TCAACGATGCACATAGAGAGATCCATCACTACAGAATGATGTTGTTCCGTGTGGTAAACATATATATTGTCAGGCTGTCTTCCAATTAAAATCTGTGACAAATTACTTAAAATACAAGAAACGTCATGTAAGACTTTTTTAAAAAAGAGAAAAAGAGATTAGATTCTAAATTCATCTGGCTTTCACAAAGCAACGGAAAACAAGACCACGAAAACATAAAACCTATACAATATCAGCCTCACACTTCTCTAAAATCGTCTCCATCTTCACCTATGATTGTCATTTCTCCTAATGATTTTCCTTCACAGAACAGTTCTTCATTATCCACAGTTAGAGATAAGTGGTTTATCAATTTGTCTTCAGTTGACATTCCGCATAACATACAATGTTTTTTACAATGTTTTCGTGGTCTTGTTTTCCTTTGTTTTGTGAAAGCCAGATGAATTTAGAATCTAATCTCTTTTTCTCTTTTTTGAAAAAAAGTCTTACATGACGTTTCTTGTGTTTTAAGGAATTCGTCACAGATTTTAATTGGGAGAGAATTTTATTCTTCCTTTCAACAAAAAAAGTAGGATCATTTTTGAATGTATAAAAAGTATAGAGAGCATACTCTCAAAATGACAGACAAATTGAAGTAACAAATCACTCTATTCCTATACTTAACAACATCATCATGTTTTATGTCTGTGACAGATAAAACCATGATACTGTAGAATTTTTATCATCACATAATAATATTATTTTTACACATGCAAACAAAGGAAATGTCACAGTAGCTATAGATAAGGATAAATATATTTATAAGATGATTTCGTTATTAAGTGATAATGACACATACACTATTATAAATAAAGATCCTACTAAAAACTTACTTCAGTTCTGAGAGTTATGCTTACTAGATGGAGAACTAAAGAATATATTGACATGCCGAAACATAGATCGTTATATTGTAATGATGGATCGCTCCCGAGAGCTTATGGTTTGCCGAAAATCCATAAAACTAATTGTCCGTTAAAAATCATTGTATCATCTGTGGGCAGTCCTCTACATTCTTTGGCATCATTCTTACATAACATTCTTTTTAAAACGATTCCTAAAGCCGATAGTTATATCAAAAATAGTTTTCAGCTGGTTGAAAAATTAAAAACAATAAAAACTTCACCTCATCATAAATTAATTTCATTAGATGTAATATCTTTTTTTTACAAATGTTCCAACAGACATGGCCATAGACTGCATAAATGAACATTGGAATTTTATTTCTAGGAATTGCTCATTGCCAAAGAATGAATTGTTGGAGGCGATTAGATTTATTTTAGATTTTTCTTATTTTGTATTTTATCAGAAGATTTATAAACAATGTTTCGACACACTCATGGGTTGACAACTCTCCGTTGTCACCCATCATTGCCGATTTAGTAATGAGGAGACTCGAAACGAAATCCTTGATGTCATGTAATTTGGATATTCTGTTCTATTTTAGATATGTAGATGACATCTGTACTGCAGTCTTACCGGATGAAATAGGCTCTTTATTCCAAGTGTTTAACTCTTTTCATCCTCGTCTCCAATTTACACTAGAAATTGGAGACAAAAAATTAGAATTTTTGGATAGTTCAATCTCAATAATTGATCATTATTTTGTATTTGATTGGTACCGTAAGCCTACGTTTTCAGGGAGATCCTTAACTTTTTTTTCAAATCATCCTGTTTCTCAAAAGAAAGGCACAATTTATTCGCTAGTTGATAGAGCTTTTTTACTTTCTGACTTGAATTTTCATACAAAGAATTTAAATCTTATCATTAACATTTTATTAAATAATGACTACCCTTTATCTTTTATTTTTGACACAATCAACCAACGATTAAAACACCTGAATAAAAATAAAAATAATCATACATTAAATCATGAAACCACCAATAGTAAGGATGATAATAAAAAAACGACTTCTTGGCTTACTGTACCTTTCATACCTTCACAAATAGAAAAATTTAAACGGTTTAATAATAATGATATCAGGGTGTCATTTCATAGTCCTAATAAAATGCGAAAATATATTAAGGTTCAAAAAGATATATGTCCACATACATCTAGAAACAATGTAGTGTATAAGATCCAGTGTAACGATTGCGATGCTTCGTATGTCGGACAGCCGGGAAGACAACTAAAAACTAGAATTAACGAACATCGCAACCATATCAGACATAATACATCGACCCGATCAGTTATCACTGAGCATAGGCTAAATTACGATCATGACTTCCAATAGGATGTCAAAATTTCAGCCGAAGAACCATGCTATAGAAAACGCATAATATCGGAGATGCTTAATATTAAAAAGCAAAAACATAGTTTGAATTTACAAACTGATATGTCATAAGAATTACATCTCTTTATAAAAGGAGCAGAAATTCGTTGTTCTGTACTTTTACAACGCATTGCCGTTGCATTGCATTTTATATATTACACTATTGAACACATATTATTCAAACATGGACTTAATTTATATCTATTTTTTAATTATTGTTTTGGTAATAGTTTTCTTATAAACTACAACATTCACATAACATTTTGTATAGCGTTGCATTAATTTTTACAGAAACTTTGTTAACTTACGAATTATCAAATTTTCCAACAACAATATTACATTTTAACTATTTATAATAATTTTATCTACGAAAGAGATTATTTTGGAAGTCTGAAGAAGACTCAATCAAGGAGTCAAAACTTGTTACGCGCAGCATGTTTTTAATTTTAAGTAATGGGCATCATGTTTTTAATTTTAAGCAATTTTTTGTAATTATTTCTATTGTTTCAAATTTAGAATTAAATGTCGACATTTTAATATTGTTTTAAATGTAATTTACTTCTGACTCTTACTTCGCCCTTTTAATTTATGTTGAATAATATAATTTATTATTTTAATAATTAGGAATTTAATTTCTTAAACCTTAATTATATTTTTCTTAATCTTTAGATAAATTGTTGCATTTTTTATTTTTACCAAGTTAACTTGAACACATTTATTTACACAAATATATTTCACAGTAAAAATCACAATATCCTTGAGGCAATAGGAGTCCACCGCTGGATGTAAGGGTTGCGAATGATTTTCAATATTATTCTTCTCTTACGTACGTTTCGACTTTATTTTTTAAGTCATCTTCAGCAATATCAATTAATTATAAACGCTTTCGGAACTCATCTAAGTAAAATTAACTTCCACATCAGTTATCTAGCTGAGTGATATAATTTTATTATATTTCACAGTATTTACGAAAAAACAATTTAATTCTCAAAAAATGAAGATACAAAACATAATACATATTTTTCAACTTTCCTGAAACGCTTATACATGATATAAATGTTATCCATCTATTGTTATAAAGTATGTCATCACATGATATAGTCTGTACTATATTAATTCTGACAATAATGTAGTATTAAACACAATATAATTTTTTCGTTCGTCATACTCGTTACATATATATATATGTGTGTGTGTGTGTGTGTGTGTGTGTGTGTGTGTGTTGTACATATGTAATAGCTAATACATATCAATTATGCTACGATTCGTGTACTATCTTGTTTAAAGAAAAAAAAATAATATAATTTGTATCTCAAACTGATTTGCATTTTCTACATTACAAGTTATAAATAGATAATATATATTCCCTTGATATTTGAAAATAATTGATTCAACAGCGTAACATTAAAAGTAAGCAAAATATCAACAATATGCTAACAAATTCGAACAGGATATTGAGACAGATTGACATTAATTATGTCACAATAAGCTCGTGTTGTACTATATATATATATATATATATATATATCATTCAAATAATTATGAAACAGCAGATTTTATAATCAATTCTGGTATTTTTTAAATTTTTATTTGTTATATTTCTGCCAATAAAATTTGTAGTAATTAGTTTGCTTTGTTTATAACAGATCTGGCAGAACCACAAGCTTATTATGATGCAGTTGAGCCAATTTGCATCAATATCCTGCTTGAATTTAGTGGCATATTGTTAACATTTTGCTTACTAAATAAAAATAATATAATAATTATTATTTGTATATATCATAAAATTAAAATGCCTCAAAGTAATACAATCTAAAAGTAAAATAAAATTACATAATAGAATATAATTCATAAATTGCTAATGAAATTATAGCTTTTCAATAGTTGCTCTTCTAATAAAACTGAATACAAACATCTCTATAATAAAGTTGAATCAACATACTTTTGTGTCAAATTAATAAAAAAACAAATTATAAAAAACATAAATAACCTAGTCTATAATTTTGGGTATGAAAAAAAACAATATGTAAATTATTACATGAAAATATTACATACACGTTCGATAACTATAGATGGACAAAATGTGATATAGTATATATATTTTCTTTTACATTCACACTTTCAAGTAAGGCACTGCCTTTAGTTCAAAAACATAATCACATATTGTGTAAATATTGATCTCTCTCCTGTATATATTTTTGAAATAAATCTTATCTTGCTCGTTTAGAGTTTAAAGTATAAATCCACTCATATAATTTGATCTAGAGATCACTAGATTCGACGCGAGAAGTACTACACATTTTCTTAAGATCCTTTTCAATATATCCTTAGCATATCTACATATATTTGTATTAGATACTTAATCCATCACGTCGGATTAATCATCACTTTATGCCAATAATTATATAAATTATACATCAATCGTACATCATTCATTATTATAAAAAATTATTGTAGTGTTACTACATATTTCTATCTGATGAATTTATAAAACTGATAAACTTAAATCTCAACTTGTAGCTATAATCGCACCGTTTACTCAGTCGAACATCGTTTGACACTATTAATTTTTATTTACTTATTTAATTTTGATATCAGCATATCCATGAATGAATGTTAAGATTATTAATATCTAACGCTTTTATTAGTATCTAATGCTTAAGACTTTTCTCACACATATAAAGTCACGTTTCTTTCTTCGTGCATTAGTTCCATCCAAATTCTATATCTTCGATTTTTATATTCAATCCTTCGAATGTCGTATCAATGCCAGGATCATCAAAACTTTCGTCTAAATCAATCTTCTGTGTATTTAAAATTTTAAATAAATAAATTAAAAAAAATTTTTTTTTTATAATAATTATCCAGAATAAAATCTATCATAAGAAAGAGAGAGAACACACACACACACATATCAAGTTTTTTTTACAAACCTGTAATGCAGCGATTTGCGAAGGATCGCCTACGAACAAAATTTGTGGTTCTTTCTCGTTTGCATCATCAATCATTTTAGAAATCTGGATCTGTTTGTCTTTCGCTAGCAGCTTATGCTAAATTTAATTAAAATCAGATAGTTGCGTAATCATATCAAACTGCACAAACATATATTGTAATTAATAAATTAGATTTTACATTATACTTACGGTATTAGGTATTAGGTAGGAAAGTTTTTTGTATTATAAACCAAAAGAGTAGAGGAGTAAGATAAGAGTAAGGGAGATAAGGAAAAGGTATGTAATATAAGTCCGGTAAATTAAGAATTGAGAATAAAGGAAGATAAATAAAAATGACAAATGTAAAATAGGTTGTGTATAATGGCTGTGAACTTTAGGTATTATATATGATATATATTACCTATAACTTACTTATGAACTAATTATGACTTAAAAATTACCTCTATATAGAAAAATATGTATATGTACATATATAATATATCCTAATCATGCATATATATGATACAAACACAATATATATATATATTTTTTTCTATATAGAGGTAATTTTTAAGTCATAATTAGTTCATAAGTAAGTTATAGGTAAGTTAAGGACAGGAAAAATAAATGTGCAATTGAGTAGTATACAAAAGGTATGGATGGATGAATAAGATAAGGAAAATTGTAAACCGAGTTTCCTTCTTGACTTTGTCAAAAGCGTTGAAGTGAATAAATATTCTATTCATTATACTTACGGTTTCTTTTACGGTTTTCTTTTTATTTTTATTCTGACTAGAGGATTCAAGAGGTTCTTGCAAAAAAATATCAGCACCATCGTCACTATCGATCAAGGCATGAACTGTTCTCTTGTGCATCACCAATGTGCTATTCTGGCGATATTTCCTGGAGCATAGGGTGCATTCAAATGGTCGTTGTGGTGTATGTACCTGTGAAGACAAAAATATGTAGAAATAACAGCAACATTCTTGAAGTATTGTGTATTTTAGAATATTGCACTCTTAATAATAATCGATTAATAATTGATATAAAATGCTTACAAGATGATGTTTATATAGACTAGAATATTCGGTAAACCTTCTACCACAGTTTTCTATGGAACAAACGTAAGGCTTTTCGCCTGAGTGTATGCGTATGTGATTCTTGTAGTTTGTCGCACTAGCGAATGCTTTACCACATGTCGGCTGTGTGCATTTATACGGTCGCTCGCCAGTGTGCGTCCTTACATGAACCTGATAAAACCTTTATTGAATTTTGGCAATAAAATATTTTAACAAGCATCGTACCTTCCTAATATTACTTGTGGTGAACGATCGGCCACAACCGTTAAATGGGCATACAAAAGGACGTTCGCCCGTGTGAGTTCTCACGTGTTTTAACAAATCACCCGATGTCTTGAAGCTTTTGTTACACGTTCCATTCGTACATTTGTATGGTTTCTCACCCGTATGCGTCCGTAAATGCGCTTTTAGACTATAACCAGTTGAAAAACTCTTTTTACACTTTGGATGAGTACATCTATATGGTCTCTGACCAGTATGTGAACGTTCATGGACCTATAAAAAAAGATTAAAAGTAGTGCATTTAGTAAGCCTGATTAAAAAAATTTAAATGAGGTTTCTCAATTCACAAGTGTTCATATTGATCTTGATGAATTGATTACCTTGAGATGATGGGGCGTGCTGTAAATCTTTGAACATCCTTCTCTAGGACAAGGATATCTAACTTTTACATCGGCTAACTTGTTGATTAAAATCTTGGAATCTTTTTTCTTTAACTTTCCGTCTTCAATTTCCCATAAATTTTCATCTACATCCACATGACTTGCCACCATGTACGCAGTGCCATTGATAAATTCCACTTGTGAATACGTATTTTCTACATTTTCAGTAGCAGTATCTTCAGCTTGTACAAATGTAGCTGGATCTAATTCCAGTTGAAGAGCCTTTCCATCGCCAAATTCCGACAAATCTCGTAGCAAAATAGTATTTCCATTTTGAAGTGTTGTTTGTAGTGTTTGTGTCTTGAAATCTGGGTCTATAAATGTACAAGTTCAGTATAGATATACCATGAAAGAAATAGAACTTCTATATAGCTATATTTTCTTTCAAATGCAAATTATTTCAAAAGGAATAATTCTTTTGCATTAATGTATATTTATAATATTCAGGTATAATATAACAGTCAAATTTAAATTGGCTACTAACCAATGTCACCAAGATTATTTGTAACAAAAGCTTGAGTTCCATCAGGTAACGTAATTGTAGTCACCATTGTGCCAAGCAATTGGTCATCCAATATAAGCTCTTGTACCTGGCTAGCATCCTTTCCAGTACCATCGTTGATCATAACTGACAGACATTCCAAAATATCTACAGGATTAGCCTAAAAGTAAATCATACATATTAAATGCAGATATTGAAACAGGTTAAGAAGACATAAAAAAAGATCAATAAAACAAATAATTCTTAGATGAGCAAAGAATTATATGCAGTTTGTGAATTATATTGTAGTACAAAATTAAATATTTATTAAATTATTAGCTTATTAAAATAGAAGATATGAAACGATTTGTATAAAATGTTCTACGTAGTATTATTTACTATTCCTTGTACCTCAAACTCTTGTAAGATCATTTCCTCTTCCTCTTCCTCCTCCTGATTAGCGATGCAGTTTGGAGAATCCGCACTTTGTTCCGACATAATCTCCTACAATTGTGACCCAGCTGCGAACAGAGAATATGTCTCACTAACAGATGCTAGCGATGCTGGATAAGGAGACATTCCGTCCGCGATTTTCGTTTCTCCCTTCGAGATGCTTTGAAAACGTGTATAGCGAGCGGCGAGATCGCGTGGTACTTTTATCGCGAAAATCGTAATCAAACGATCGGCCCTTTCATTTCTCGCGATAAGCGATGACAACACGACCGGCTCAGCGACACAACAATCCGTCGTCGTCGCCGGCGTCGTGATCAACGGACTGAGGGAACGTTAAGACGTGCGGCGTCGGTAGCGTCGTTCCCTAAAACGCGTCGTAGACGGATAAGCAGAATCGCGTTCTGCTTCGACGTGCCTCATCGCCATCCTCGCGCGCGGTTGTCCCGTGAGAAGAGACAGACCGATACATCGGAAGGCGGCGCGGCATGACGAGGACTCGTTGCAACGAGGGACGAGGCGTCACGAGTCCACGCCAACATAACATGACATAACATAATTGAATATAATACGACGCAACTCGCACGCTCGTTCGCACGCGGTGAATTGAATTTTCGCCGGTTTCCCGTACGCCAAGCACGCTACAAAGAATCTTGGGAAATATTACCCATAAACTCGGCCGCCCGCGCGAAATCCTCTGGCGAGTGGCGACTAGCGCGCGGCGGACCGGAACTCCGGTGACGGTTATCTCACCATGGTGGCGTACGCGCGCTTCGATTCGAACGTTTAAACGTTTGCGAATGATCGTCCCGGCTTTCCAAATTGTCTTTTTTTAAAACCGAGAATGAGCACTTGAGGATCTTATTTATATTCACGATCGTCTTTAATACAAAGTTAATTATCATTATTGAATAGAAAATTAACTATTCATTGTTATGTGTGTACAAAATTAATTGTTCATTATGGCTAAATTGTTAATTTAATATAATGTGAATATAGTAGCTCACAATTATTGGCACAGTAATACCCAAATATCGGTCCAATATTATCCCTGCGCGCGCAACGTTTAATTAATATATCACCAATAAATTCTACTAAAGAAACGATTTTTTTTCTATGATCGACATAAAATATTCTACATAATATTATCCATCTCTACGTACATATCTCAGACTTGAGAATATATACATCTTAATTAAAATCTAATTTAATTATATAATCGGATTAAGAATATATCGCCGCATATTTAATGACTTACCGTTCGCTAATCATCAAAAAACTAATTGGCACAAATGGGTACTCAACTCAACGTCAATATTCAATTCGCGTTTTACAGTAATCTCATGTACAATTAATCAATTAACATTTATGAATTGTTAATTACAATTGAATCATATCTGTGCGGAAAAGTCGGATATACAATGTGTAGCGATAGTATCATGACAATCTAGCATGCTCTAATTTTCGCTTCTTTAACTCGCTTCCCGTTTCGTGTTGTATAAAGTATATCAAAACATTAAGAGCAATTATATATACTTTAACTAAATTTAATTAAAGCGATTATTATTTAGGTTATTATATATACACAAAACAGTTACATAAACTATGCATAGCATATAAAGCCCCTACCTAGTCCAATATGAGCATCGCTTATGTAAATTGGCCGAAATTGCAGCCGTTATTTCATCGGCGAGAGCCATTAAATCAGAAGAAGAAGAAGAAAATCTTATGTAAATCAATGTGGCGTCTTCATGTCGGATATGCTTGGTCTAGGAACCTAGCTTATGCTATGCAATGGTTATGCAACTATGTCATTTTGTGTGTGATGGCCCTTACTCAGCAAAAAGAAAAGCATAAAGGAAAATTTATATAACTTTCTCTTTCCAATCTAGTCTTTCTTTCCATCCATACATTACAAGATTAATTATATTCTATGTTAACAAAACAATACATGTTTGCTTGGTAATTTAATCGCCGATTAAGTTAATCAAATTTCGATTAACAATTAATAAGTCTATAAAGTCTAATATATGTATATACAATGTGTTTTTTTTTTACCTCCTGTTGCTGACCTTTTACTATTTTTTATTTCCAGCCTTTTTGATTCTTATCTTATAATTTCTTCGTTTTTGCCCGAGATAAAAGTTAAATTTCGGAAGAGACATGAATGTCAATAAAACAGTTTATAAATATGGAAAAAGTCAAGAGGTAAAAGTCTGTAGATTAGGTTTAAATGCGTTATTCAGGGTAAAATAAGAATAAACCGTAGTATTTCGTAGCGCAATGTAGGTGGAAGAGAAGTGGATGTCATATCTAAGTCAATTATTATACTTATTATGTGTTTATTCTTTCTTTGTAATTGTAAATATAACTTCTCGTTTAGGAAGTCATAAAATTAAAAAAAAAATTCTTTCCTGAAAGATATTACTTTCTATTTATTAATACATATATATATACGATCTTATTCGACAGGCCCGCCTCTCTTCTGCATCGATTCGATTGTCAGTTCGACCGTGCAACTCGTCGTGACCGCGGGAACGTAAAATGCGGCGTGTTCGCGGACGACGTCCGTTTCGCAAGCGTACTAATTTGATCCACGAGCCGCGCGTTCCCGAGGCAAGATGAAAGTACCTCGACGGTGATCCCCTGCGAAGTTAGAGTCCTTATTATCTCTGGAACCTCCACGGTGTCTCGAGTCACACGCAAGTGGGATACAGCATGCATGTATATCGCGAATGGCGAGAAGGGGGATGCTGAAATTCATGCACACGCCGGCGGTCACCGACGTTCTCCACACCACGACCTGAATCAGTTCCTATTACCGCATCCACGAGACGTCTTGAGAAAATCCGGCTGCTGGATCCTATAAGAGTCCCCGTGAATTCGTTGTTAGAGAGATCCTTTTTCGCCGCAGTGGCCGTGATCCGATCTGGACGTGCGGGTGTGCAACGTGCTCGTCTCATAGGGATCCTGTTAAGGATCGATAATTGACAATTGATAGCGCGACGATGACAACGGTGGGTGAAGTGATGAATCTGTGTCCTCTCGCAGAATTTCTTGCTCACTTATTGTGATAGTTACCGGCCTTCAATCTAAAAATCTTGAACAATTTTAATCCCTTTGCCTCACTAGAATATCGAGTGCACTTTATTAAAAAGGTCACAACAAACGATACTCACGATTTGATTAAATTGGTAGCTATAGCTTCACTGTGTGTCTTCGCGTCAATTAAAAAAATGTTAAAAAATAAAATTTTCTAATTCCAAAAAGTTCAAGTTCAATTTTTCATTTTCTGATTAATTAGATTTAACCTGATGATGTAAAAATAGTATTGTTCAGGCGATGGTTTTAATTAAAACTGGTTAATCTAAACTAATAGCTTTATAGTAAAAAGTAACTTTTAAAGTTACCTCATTACAAATCCATCAATTTATTATGGTTAATCGTAGCTTAAAAAAATACAGGTTTTATATTATTAAGTTTAAGTCTAAACCAATAATTGAAATAAAGATTGAAAAGTCGGGCCTTAGAGAATAGATTTAAATGTGGATTTTTCGTATTTTTATATTTAATCTAATATTAAAATTTGAAATTTCAGTAAATTATTAATTATGAAATGCACTAGATATATTTTTAAAAAGATATTTTATAAAGATATTTAATTTAATATTATAAAAAAAATTTTGAATAATTTAATTTTCACGCAGAAATTTTCTGTAATGTATGATATCCGAATTCATAATAAATTCTTGAGTTTCAAGTAGTTTGATATAATTTTTAACATTTAAAAATTGAAAATAATTTGGTGTAAAAACCTAGAAAATATCATAAATATATCTTTAATGCAAAAATATATTTATTTTGTAATTTATAGAGAAAAACTGAATAGAAGATAATGAAGTTGCATAAACAATTTCTATACTTTAAGTTTTACTTAAAGTAAGGAAGGAACATAAATTAGTTTCATATAACACAAAGTTCCTTTGACAGAAGGAACTTTATTGCGAAGCTAATTTGTTCCATCACTTCTGAGACGCTATAATTACAATTCGTATCGAGTAATTATAGTCCCACGCGATAAATTAATTTATCTACGGATTTATTGTATCATTAGAAAGGTAGACGATGGTAAGCAGGCGTCTCGGCAGGCGTATTACATATACGGATTTATAAATTCTTATGCATGCGTGTGCGCGTGTACCAATGTAATTGCTTCATTGCGACTCACGGTTACTTAATCAAATCGTGATGTATCACGAGAATGGGATCGCTCTCAGTTTACAGCAATACATTTTTTTTTTTCTATTTATGTATGCTGTGTGTCAATACTCTTACTAATCAGACTGCATTGTGCAAAAGTAAATTAGGTCGCAAACTAATTGTTGTTCGCCATTTGAATTTAAAACGTTTTGTATTCGATTCAATATTTATAGACTATAAATTACTTTCAATTATAATGTATGAAACATTTAGAAAGAGCAACATATTAAAAGAGTTATAATAGAAAATTATATATTATGCTAAAATAAATTAAATTGCAAACTAATTTATCTTAGCTCAAATTTAAAACGTTTGTTCTCGACTTCAATATCTATATAAATAATTTCTTTATAATGAAATATTAATAAATAATAATAAATACGTATATCAAAAAGTTATAACAGAAAATATAAATATAAAATATAAATAAGAAAATATAAAATTATATGATTAATATGAATTTTATTAAAAATTTGTATCATGAGTTTTCCTTCTCGCAAGACTTCATGTCCTTTCGAAACTCGACCTTTTCGCAAATTGTCAGAGAGTCAGATCTCCGATCAATAATCTATCAGCGTGGAAAATACTACTTATGCACATGAAGTTTTTGCACTGTTGTATCTGAAATGTCGGATTCAATAGCGCCCGAATGTAGATATACTCCCAAGTGAAGGTGAGCAGAAAGGAAGGCGAAAGGGTGAGTTTTGATACGCACTGTCGAGCATGTGTGTCTTTATTCAAATCTCCTTGAGGACTAAGCTTAGCGCGCACGTGTTTTGTTAAGGCGTAGGTGTGCTTACTTGAAACGATGTAGGAATACCGATGGTATGCGGAGATATAATGTAACTATACTGTAGCGGTCGTGAAGAATATTGCCTTTCAAAGTGCAATGTTGCTGGCTCCAATCCTGCTGGGAAAAGTCTGTCTTGTAGTATTCGCAGGGAGGGCAGTATTCCGCAAGCAGGTCGTAGAAATGATGTAACGTGTTACGACGTTACGTCAAGAGTTTATGTTATAATAAATTACTCCCGATTATTCTGGAGAATATTGTCTAGAAGCAAGAATAATAAGTTAAAAATTGATAGCACGAAATTGTTAAAAAGAACATGTATTCTTAAAGTTTTCTTGTACGTTATATGTAAATGAGAGAAATTAACATTTTGTACGATGAAAGCTAAGAAATGTGTTGAAAAACAAATAAATATTATAGATATTTTTAAAACCGATTTAACTATTTATGAATAAATAGAATCATATTTGTTACATTAAAAAAATGACGTAAAAATACATATATAACGATCAATGGAATATTGATGGATCAACTATACCTTTTCTTTTATCAAGCTGTTGCACATAAAGCGTTTATATTAGCGTGTAATGGTTGATGATAAAAAAGTTAATGGTTAAGAAGTCCCATAGAAAGCTCTATAAAATATGAACTTTCTAAATCGAGAATTTCAATGATGTGCTATACAATTAATGTAATTAATAATAATTTTTTTAGTGATACAGACGACTGCGGCACACTTCTTTGCTATTCACACATTTTTATAAATTAATAAATATTAATGCAATTATGATATGCATAGAAGCATTTTTAGAAACGTATCCACCTTGATACATTTCTATGATACGTATCTTGTACAATCCATTATATAGTTCATTTTCTGCATTGTAATTAATTATAAAACAGATTTTTATTTGTCATCCATATGTATATGATGACGTTGAAGCATTCGCTTCAAATTTTTTCACAAAAATAATTTCTGCTTTAAAGTTTTAATTAAATTTGAAATCGATTTCTTTCTTGTAATGCAAAATGGCATAACAATAATATTTTACAAATTGACTAATAATCATGTTACTAATTTCTATTAGAATTTATTAGAATTTATGAAATCGATTTGTGTTATAATTTTGTATTGATTATTAATGTGTGTGTTACACATTCTATAATAATAACAATATATTTAGTAACGAATTAGATTTAATTTTTACACAGTAACTTATAAACTTCAGTTTTATATAGATATAAAATTTAGAAATTTAAGAAGAAATCATGAATAGTTTTATCGTTGCCGTTAGCTGGTCTATTTTTCTTTGCGAATAAATCTCTATAATATATATAAAAGTAGGTATATCGTATACGCGCATACATCTGCGAGTAATACCTTGAAACCCGAGTGTGTAATGTGATATATTCTAGCTTAATAAGAAAATTTTTTATGAAAGCTGTTTAGAGTTTCATATGTATTGAATTTCAATAACCGTGCATTGTAGAATAATATCATTTTTTTGAATTATTAAGAAACTCACGGATATATGTAATATGTTTTGTAACACAGAGACATTCCAACGTAATTTATTCCCCCCTCCCACGTATCATACTTTAATAAAATTTCATAATTTTTTTCTGAGGAGAAATCGACTCTAAAGTACTCATACAATATACTCTAGAATTTCTAAATCAGAGCCTTTTCTCACGTTTTTTTTTTCGTAATTCGGCTCACAACTTGGAGCGAGTGCTTCAACGTCATTATACACATGTCGACAAATGATAAATCTCTTTTTTTATGAATCACAATGCAAAAAATAATTCGGCTCTGATAACAAGATACATCGTTAATTATAAGATTAAATTACTATTTTGATTCTAGATAACAGTGCAGGTGTTGGTGCTTCTCATGGTGACTGTGGCCAGTTCCTTACCGCTCGCCAATGTGCACGTGAAATTCGTATCGCCACCTAATATATACGAGCATAGCGTTACAACAGACGGTTAGCTACTGATTGCATGATGAATTGATAATGCTTTATATCACATTAACAAGTTGAGATGCTTTAACTTATTCGCTTTCATTTGTTTTCAGGAGATCGAACGGTAGCCCAAAAGTCGTTTATATCAATCGGCCGACGAAGCACAGCCAAGCATTCTAAGAATCTCGGTGACTTTTTATTTCAATACTTTGTACAATTATTTTAATGTAAATAATTAGGAATAGTCAGAATTAATCCTAATCGGTATACACTCCAAAATTTTCTTAATTGTATGTATTCGTGGATCTATAAGTGTGCTTTAAATTTTGCTCAAAGTGTAAAATAATGATAAGTTCAAGTAATTGATCAAGGTGAAATTTAACGTTTTTTTTCATTTTACCACCAAAGGTCAAATTCAAGGAACAATGAGTTTATATAAGATTGTAAAAGATATTTCGCACAGAATGTCAGAAATCCGGGTTCCGGCCGAGGTAATATTTTTCGCAGTGAAAAATTAATTATTTACAGTTTTTAATAGATTATTCAATATTAGTAAGATCGATATAAGATGCGTAAACAGCATCAATAATTGTTAAATTGTTAGTCAATTTTACTCGTGATATTACTGCGGTAGTTTATTAGTGTTGCGTTTCAAAAGTCTGAAAAAATTTCGGAGCGCAATCGAAGAATTACATTCGCAGTATATAAATTCACACGCAATTATTTAGAAGCACTCGTGATCCAGCATAGACCGCTGTGACATTATCTCGTTCGGTTTAAAAGATATTTGTCATAAATAATTTTTTACAATGTACTTGAAGAAAATAACCGATTGGACCAGCGAATATACCATGATTAGAGTTAATATAATATCTTTTAAATGACACATACTTTCAGTGAGAAAATTTATATATCTGAGATTCATTTTTACAGATTATAATTATAGGACGAGTTTCCAACAAAATCATTTACAGCATGTGATATCGGGTTCGGAAAACGCTGAATCTCTGTGGCCAATTGGTGTTTTCCTGCCACCAACTGACATCAATGATCTTGGATATAGCTGGCAAGAAGTGTCGCAACGAGTCCCCAATTTCTACAAATCACAGCGTAAGACCATCTTTTTTCAGAGATTTACCGACTATAACACAAAAGGATCTATATCCGCTTTTTAATTAATGTTTTCTGTTATACTTTTACGTTTTGGGCAAATCGCACCCTAATTTTTCACCTTTTTTTTTATATACAGGGTGTCCCAAGAGTTTCTTCCAATCGCTTTGTGTATAGATAGAGCGGACTAAACTTAGTTGAAGTCCTCTATCACTTTACAAATTTCGCAATGGTTAGATATATAACCGAGATATTAATTATTAATAAACGAGATATTAATTTTTAAAGATAGCCGAATATTGGACTTTAATAATTTTTTCTCAAATGCATCAACTTTACAGAAAAATTGCAAGGGACAAAAATTGTGTATCTTCTTCTCATAGAACTCTAAACATTTTTTTAGAATTTTATGAGAAGAAAATAAATAATTTTTATCTCTCGTTATTTTTCTGTAAAGTTGATAGTATTTGAGAAAAAAATTATTGAAAACCAATATTCGGCTATTCGGAACACCCTGTATATATATATATCTATCTATGTGTGTGTGTGTGCGTGTGTGTATCGTTTCCGTATAATTTTTGGTTCCAATTGCAGAACGAGATCCATATTTATTGACCGACCGTGAAGCAATGATAGCAGTCAAATATCTCTATGGATTAGGTGAACTTTTCTTCGATAATTATCCTCATGTAAGAGCGATACTACGAAATCAGGAAGAAAGGAGACTGAACGGTTTGCATGGACACGTTTTGGGCAGCCTAAATCCTAGATCTCCGTTTCACAGGAAAGATAGAAAGGATCAACTAATCTAAGAATGATTTACGTTTATATTATTGGGCACAAAAATTCAAACATGAGCTGAATTTTGCAGTACGTAATATATGTTTTTATTACGATTTCCAGAATTTTGTGGATATACTGCCACAAGATGTAACAAGTTAGAAACTAACGTGTATTTTCGGAAGGAACAGGAATAATATATATTCAAGATTATGTTTTAAACTAATAATTAATAATAACATATAAAATGTCCCACCAGTGCTGTGTCAATGCTTAATGGCAAATTTTTGTATAATATATTTTTCTCAAATTAATTCCAAATTAACAAAATTAATTAATATACTACAATAAAACATATCTAAAAATACATTTATATTAAAACACGTCTTACTTGTGATTACTTTATGATATGCATTATAAAAAACACATTATTTTACACATATATCCACAACATACATCCATCAGAGTGCTAATTCCTAATTCTCGCAATTTCTATAAAGTATTCACAGAAAATTTAATCACTTTAATCCATCCATATGATGAAGTCATATATGTATACATCCTCAAATAAGCCATCGTGTTAAGCATAGAGCTATTGTTATTAAAGAACTACTGGCGATGGTCATTTTCATCGTTCCATTACAAAGATCTCCGTAACACAGGCACATGTATACTTTCTTATAATTCCACACGGTATAAGCGCATCTCTCTTCGTTGTCATCAGGACCTCGCTGGAAGCACAATCTCTGCGTGGCGGTACCATACTCTGTAACATATAAATTTATTATCATTTTTTTTAGAATAATATTTTTACAAAAGAACATATAATGTAACTATATCAATTTTAAGTCCTATTTATATTATTAATAATACATATTATTTAATGAATAATTTTATTAATAATGTAATATGAATATAATATTAAATAAATTTTATACAAAATATGTATTTTTATTAATTTTATACGAAATATGTATTTTTATAGAACATTTTTAATTATGTTGCCAAATAAAACTTTTTTGAAAGAGAAATTTACCGTTGTTTAAATTTTGACTCTCGATGATTTTTCCGCACCACCCGGAAACGCACGGTACCGCGTCGATGCCTTTTTCAAGCGTGATTTGCGTAGAATTCATAGTGAAAGGATCTTTGCACGAGCCTAAGTCTCCTCTCGATCTGCAGCTTACGCATCTCCGAAGAATGCCTGTAATAACGCGACGAATGAAACTGTCACTTTTACCTGCTACTGCTTAAGCGTCATTTCACTTGCGCTGCATAGACATCGAAGAATTGATAATATGCAACATTTTCTTATAATTTAGCATTAAATAAAGCAAAATTATTTGTATAATATTTATTGTAATTTAATAACAATTAATCTGTATTTAAATCAGAAAATCAATTTTATTTATAAGAAATAGAAATAAATATTTATATAAATAAAATACTAGTATTTCATCTCTTATTAACAAAAATTTTTTGTCAAAAATGAAATACTGATTAAACCTTATAAAGTTACTTATTTTTTCGTTCACAATTTCAATTAAAAACAATTCCACAAAAAGAAATTTTGTCGTATATGTTTACCTTATTTATTAACCATTATTCGTCTATTATAAAAAAAATGTTGCTATTTTTTAAAAAGATATTTTAAAAAATATAAAAAATTTTAAGAAAGATGCAAATAAAACAATTAAAAAAGTTCTTTGACTCGTGACAGAAACTCACCAACACATTCCTGAATCGTGATTATACAAAAAGTCAGGATAATTGCTTGGACGCTTGTTTGAAGTTTCATTCTATTTCGTTTTTAATCTGGAGTCAGTCTTTTTGTAGTTGGAGCCTATCAGCTCGTTAATAAACACGGTAGACAACAAACCAGGAGCTACGATAAAACACAGCCATTTTGGAACTAAACTTAACTGTCTGGAGACAGATATGTACGCCTTATAGCTGTCTCTACCAGTTCCCCCTTTCACTCAATTTTAAGGTCACAGTGTGCCGAAGAAGATCGGTTTGAGGGAACGCGAAGGAGATAGCCACGAGGTCTCACGAAGCGTTCTCGACCGATAACCAGTCACATAATGTTTCAAACATCAACAGATTTAACCGCAATAATAATAAAAGTACGTGATTGCGAATGATAAAAATATGTAGTTAACAGTATCAGTCATGCACAAGCAAACTTAAATAATTAAACATTCTCCTGAAAAAATTTCAATTTTAGTAAACACCTAAAAATTATTGCGAAGTAAAATATATCATATATTTATAAGGAAAATTATCAGTCTAAGATAAAAATCTTATCTATATATTATGATACAATTATTATGAATTTATATAAAGTGTTAAAATAATTTACATTTTGATCACGATATTATTCAACTTCCTCTTCCAAAGGATCATCTTGCGGCAAAGGTTGAAATTTGTTTTTTTGTCGACAGACTACTATTATACCCCCACAATAGCAGATTGAAGTCAAGAAAATTACAAATCCTAAGTAGCCCAAATGCCGAAAAAAAGCTATAAAAAATAACATAAACGAACAAATTTATATATACACAAAATGTTATATAAATGTTAGTCATTTTACAATTAACTATTTAATAATAAAACTTTTATTTTTGTTGTCATATATTATGTACTTAATAATAATTTTCATTGTACAAGTTTTAACTGACCTTGCGTCAAAAGCCGAGTTTTAGATACAACGATGATTTTCATGCGCATCATATTAATATTATTCACGTAGCAGGTGTAGTTACCTTGTTCTTCGTGGGACACGTCTACATATCGAGAAAAAATATGTATAGTGTTTAAAATTTTTCATATATATATAGAAAAACTATTAAATTCTTGTTATGTGTTTGAATAATAATAAACAAATATTTCTAATTATGTACCTGTAAAATTTTTAAAGTTAATATACGTGTACTGTTAAGTTACCTGTTAAATAGAGCGTTGAAAAAGTATCTACCATTATTCGAGCTTCCTTATCTTTTTGACGAAATGACTGAGTTATTCCCTTCTTCAAAGTAAGCGCGTCCTTTTTCCAAATTACTTGCGACTCTATAGTCGATCTACATTCAAAATATATCGTTTGTTTCCAATTTTTCTGTTTAATTACATAAAATATTCATTACGCGCACAAGAATTGACCGAATTTTGTATCATTAGGCTAATTACTCCGGACAAGTTACGGCGAGATGCGCGCCTTCGGCGAGAACGTATCGTTTGACATAGCGAAACTTCTCGCCTTTTTTCCTTTTTTTTACACGTGGACACTTCTTGCAAGGTTCTGTTAAAATAAATTCTGGCAAATATCGTACGATACGACTGATACTAGGAAATTCACTTTGAAGCAGGACAGATCTGAAAATGTAGTGTTTTTAAAAATTTTTTCATGTTACCATATAAACGAATTGCTGTTAGAAATTTGCAATTATAGACATTTACTTGCAAGGAAGCATCGGGGATCCTCGAAAGAAATGTATAATGATAGAATCATTTTTCCCTATCATCGTCTAAAAGATAGGTATTAATCAAGTAATTAGTAAAATAGTGATGAAAGATTATAAAATCGTTAAAGTTTGATTACGTAAAGACTAAAAATACACATATATAACACTCGCCGAATTTATGTTGCGCTGTAATCTACAATAGCCTCTGCTGGTTTTAATACCGCGATTATTTATACATTGTTCACATGGACTCCAGGAACCCCATTCGGATATTACTTGAAGAATTACTCCTTCTTCACGAATCTCTGCTAAATAAGTCATTTTCGAGATCTGCCGGAAGATACTTTTCTTTGAAATCGCATTAATTAAAAAAAAATATTAATCTTGTCACGGCGCGTCATGATTACTAAAAAAATGACTATTAAAATAATTCTCTGTCTCATTCTTTGTTTAAATAAAAGGACAGAATGTATATTTCGTAATTTTCCTTATAGTCATCTAAGGCTGAAATCAGACTACGCATTGAAGATTGAGATTGAAGATTGAAAGATTGAATTTTGTCTAATCAAAATAATAGGAGTTAAAATTCCTTTATCCTCATTGGTCAAATTTCAATTTTCAATCTTCAATCTCAATTTTCAATGCGTAGTCTTTGATTCCGGCCTAAGAGTTCGTTAACTCACTGCAAATTTCGTATTAACAGGCCATAAATATATTTCTTGATATTTTTTCCATTCTGTTATGTTTCCTTTTTCTAAAAATTCTCCGCCAATATCCTTGAGAAGTGCTACTCAACAAAAATAAATATTAATTTTAATATTCAGAGCTAATAAATATAATATAAATATTATTGACGCAAAGAAAGATTATAACAAGAACGGAATAACTAAAGCTAACATTATAAAAGCGCTCAAATTGAATTGTAATTAATAAGGAGAATATCATAATTGATTAAAAATTTTTAGTAAGAATTTGTCGTTAAAAGTAAAGTTGAGTTTTGAAATATGCTTTCAACATAGTGTAATATTATAACAAAATGAAATGTTATATCAACTGCCATGTTATTGTACGTTCGATCCTATAATTATATTTTTTTTCTTCCTCTTGTCTTTCTTTGCCATGGCATCGATAAATGCCGGCGTCGATGTCCGTAAAACTTTTTACGACTAGAGAAAGATCTGGCATTGTATAGATTCTACTGTACGAAATGTTATTATCCATTTCCAACTCGACTTCCTTTTCAGGTTCTTCTCGATAACGATCTTGATAATACCAAATTTTTGATTGAGGTTCTTCATGGTCATTACTTCTGCAAAAATTTAGTTCCCAATAGTTTACTAAAAAATTTATCCTTTAGGAAAACATGTTTCTTACGTCCTAAAAAAGTATCATAATTAAGATAATTAAAGAAAAACTTTAAAATAAGCTAGATGATTTCGACTAAACTTATTAATTTAATAAACAATAAATTCAATCGACAGAAATGTTTAAAGCAAAATTTTGTAACTATATGATTTATTTTGTTACTAATTTCATTTTTTCTTCCCATACACATATATAAAAATAATATATATTATTTGACAAATTGATCATCAATTAAATTAATGAGAATTTGATCAAAGTCAATCACTTTAAGACTTAACATCTCCGTCTGCAATCATATTTTTACTTCCTTTGCAATCAGGACATAGCTCTTTTATTCTGCCTAAGTTTTTGTTCTAGGTTTTTAAAGAATTTTGTAACTAATGTAAAAATTCAAAGTTATATTTGTCAATATCTCTAGTACATTAACAAATAGTTTATTATCTTAAATGAAATCTTTATTGAATAAAAATTAAAATTTGAAGAAAATGAGGAAAAAACAGAAATTGTTCAAAAATAATT